CCCCCCGCGCGTCCCGATATTTGTCTTTGGTGAGCTGGTCACCCTAATCTTATCACATCAGCCGCCCCTGCCCTCTGCTCAGCCAACACTGCCAACTTTAAATGTCCACTTGTCCCACAAACGTGTCTCTGCTTTTTTCCATGCTGCCACTTACGCACAGAACCTGCCCCACACCAGTCTGATGTGTAAGACTGCCTCCCACTCCTTCAACCCGCTCAAGACCTATCATCAACCTGATCGCTTTACTTGTATGCCATCTGTGTTGTCTTGAAATTGTAAACTCTTTGAGCAAGTACTCTATCTTATGTGTACAGACAGTGCCTATCACACTCGGACTCCCAATCCTGAACTGGGCCTCTGAGTTTTCCTTTTGTGTATAATATATTTAAATGTAGGTATTTAAAACTATATTTTTTTCTTTAAAGAGTCCATATCCAACATGGAAACTCTGTGCTTATCTTTCTCAGAAGTCTATATTCCCTATGTCAAGCAACACAACTCCACATATTTGCCAAAGTACTGAACCCCTCCCTAAAAGAAACCTACCCAAAAAGCAGCCATAAACACAAACAGATACATTTAAGAACAGTGGTTATCAAACTTATTTGATCATGTCCCCCTTCGTGTCTCTAGTAGTTTATGCCCTTCCCCTGCCACACAAGTACCTATACTGATAAAAAACCCAGGATGCAACACTCACTAAACATTAAAAACAGTAATGCAATGATTCAAACAGAGCCATTTAAATATATAGTAATGTAAATTTTAAGTGAGATATTGCTTATTTGCATCATACTGTTGTTACTAGCGTGATGGGTGTGCCTTTTTTGGGAGCAGAGCAATTCCATCCTGGGTTGGATACTTGGGACAGCTATCCAGAGATCCCTTTCTACCTTCAATTAAGTGTGCACACCACGTCGTAACAAGTGGATTAAACAACAGATGGCAACAACTTTGTATAATGCTATGCAAGCTTAACAGAAATCTGCCAAAATTCGCCATCTAGAGTTAAATGCATAGTGCCAGATGAAGACTCGATATGTAGGGGTCTACCAAATTTGTGGCCATGAAAATCACGTCATGTGAAATATGGTTTCCCTTGTGAATCCTGGTCTTTATGGCCCAGCTCTGAAGGCAGAGCGGAGAGCAGTGCCCAGCTACCCGGGTGCCCAGCTCTGAAGACAGCACCTCCCACCAGCAGCAACACAGAAGGGTGGCATGGTATTGCTGCTTTGCCCTCGCAGCTGGGCAGCTGGAAAGCCATGGCTGCTGGCTGGGCACCCAGCTCTGAAGGCAGCACCACCTGCCAGCAGCAACACAAAAGTAAGGGTGGCAATATCGCAATACCCTAATAGGCTTTTGACCCCCTTTCAAGTCCAGGCCCCTAGTTTGAGAAATTTGGCAGAGATATCACACATTTTTCATGGGTTGGTCATGGCATAAACAGTACATTTCACAGACGTGTAACACATTTGCTAAATTTGCTATTTATGCCATGACTAACCCACAAAAAATTGTGTCATTGCTGTGGGTAAAATGTGTGCAGTACGTTTCTTTTTCCTAAAGCTTCTCACGCACCGCTACAATACATTCTGTACCTCCCCCGGGGGGCCTGTCCCCCACTTTGGGAACCTCTGATTTAGAGAACAATGCACTATACTCTCCTCACTCTTTGTTGCTCAAGGGACACCAAAGGTAATTACAAAAGCAATTTAATTGCATTTTCTAAAGGTGGCACTTAGGAATGCAGGCCCTACTGAGGACATAAAGGTCCACAGGTTTGCCCATGTATTTTTTGCTGACTACTTAAGCATGCAAATGCATGATCTTCATAATTTAGGTGCAAAATGCACATCTAAACTTCCATGTTTATGGAATTATTGGATAGATTATCAAGGAATGTATGTTATGTGGAAATGTGTACACACACACACACACGTTTTCATTTGCACTAAATGCTTCAAGGACAGTTCTAAAAATATAGCAAAGTCTTTGCATGCTTAATATGCACTGAATCCCAATGGGTCACCTGAAGACAGTATCAAAGACACCATTTAGCAACTGTTTTCTGTAATCCACAACACTCAAATCACCATTCAAAATTGAAAGAAAAGCCTATTACCAGACTACTTGAAAAGAGGGGCCCCTAACACATTACACTGTATACAGACACTCTGGAGCATTATTAGAACTGCTCCCTGGATTGCTGACAGTTGATTTATAAAACAGGAATTGTTACTGCTTGTTGTAAATCTTTCAAGTCACCGAGGCAGCAATACACAATAACTTCTCAAAGTGACTGGAATAAATATACAGGCACAACAGTGACACTTTATTATTCTTGCAGATGAGAATAATCTGGGCCAGACTCTGTTTTCACTTACACCAGTGTAAACCTTGAGTAACTACTTTAACTTAAATGGAGTTAGTCTTCAGTACTGTAAATACCAAATTTACCAGAGTAAATTCAAATGAGATTGGCCCATTTACAAATTGCACTTAAATCTGATTTAGAAGTATTGGTGTTTAAAACTACTCATTACATTCAGCCTCTGAGCAAATTCCTGCATGTAGTTCCTCTAATCATTTCTGTACACAGAGATTTCTGGAATGTATAATAAGCCTTATAATGTTGTAAGGGTTCTTTTTGGGATCTGGCTAAAATTATAGCAGTAATAAAGCATTTCTAACTATTGATGCTCATCGTATATATAAAAGCTACTCTGGTTGGGACTAATTAAATACACTGCTGACTTCTATGGCCCCACAACAAGAGCTGAACATACATTTCTTTATCCCTGCATTATCAAAAATCATAAAAATCTTCTAAAGATTGAAGAATTTAGCCCTATTCTTGATCCGGATAGGACATAAAAGTTTCTACCTAGTAACTTGTGCTGCCATTTATAGCACAGATAATATTGTTACAGATGACAAGATGTTAAGAACATAGAGCGTCCATACTGTGTCAGACCAAAGGTCCATCTAGCCCAGTATCCTGTCTTCCGATGGTGGTCAATGCCAGGTGCCCCAGAGGGAATAAACAGAACAGGTAATCAAGTGATCCATCCCATCGCCCATTCCCAGCTTCTGGCAAACAGAGGCTAGGGACAAGATCCCTCCCCATATTTATGTAGCTGAAGGGCGAACTATTGCTTTACATATTTTAACAAAATGTCTATTGTTTTTTCCTAAAAACTGGGCCTAATTTTTCCCTCTCTTCACTGATGTAAGCAGTAATAATGACTAAAATGAGTAAGTAATGTCTTACTAAAACCCCAATCTTGCAAATACTTACACATGTGCATAGCTTTACTCATGCAACTACTCCTTCTGAAGCCAATGGAACAACTCATGTGGGTAGAGTTACATGAGAGTGTTAGCAGGGCTGGAGCATCAGTGAGAAATCACACCTATGCAAGAGTGGCCAGAATTGGGCCCATTGTTTGTAAGTGATAACTATGCCTGATCTACTTATTCATGTTTGCTTGCCCTAGTGAATATGATTACAGTAAAAAAAAAAATATATATCAACAACTGAGGAAGAGAGCAAGTTAAATTAGCATGCCATAGGCCTGGTCCCCACTAAGCCCCCACTTCGGACTAAGGTACGCAAATTCAGCTACGTTAATAACGTAGCTGAATTCGAAGTACCTTAGTCCGAACTTACCGCGGGTCCAGACGCGGCAGGAAGGCTCCCCCGTCGATGCCGCGTACTCCTCTCGGCGAGCTGGAGTACTGGCGTCGACGGCGAGCACTTCCGGGATCGATCCCAGAACATCGATTGCCTGCCGCCGACCCTCCGGTAAGTGAAGACGTACCCATAGTCAACCTTTACTTATATAACTATATTTTTATTTGCAAAGTCACAGTGTGTTTTAAAAGCCACTCATTTTCCAATAACCCCACACAATATTTTCCACCTACTAACATACATTACAAATTATTAAATTTCTTAAATAAACTAGTGTTGACTAAATAATAATCTAAGGATTCCAATAATGGCAACTAACGGGTACATATTCCTGCTAGCATCAACAATGACATATGCTATACCTGTGCAAGCAGGAAGGAAACAAACAAAATGAAGACAATTTGTGACACAAGCAGATCAGTAGGATCCTAATTAAAGTATATTGTCAAGTGATTTTTATATAAAAAAACCCAACTACCCATGATTTGGAATTACTTGTTACAGATTTGAAGTTAAATATTTTCCATTTTGTCCTTTTCAGTTTAACAAGCATGGAGGAGGATTTTTTCCCCACCCGTGTTCAGAACTGAACAAAAGTTTTGCTTCTTTCCAGTTTTGTACAGCTGGATCACCAATTGTCAGCGTAAGTCTGGGAATAGTATTCATTAGTTAATTGTTTTTGCAGAGCCAGCAAAAGGCCCAGAGGGAATTCTCACAAGAGTGGTAGTTTGAAAATTCTCATAGTGATACCTGTTGTTGTTGTTTTTAAATCCATTTAGAATCAAGGCAGAGGGTTGGGGTGTGTGGAGGGATTCGGGGGGGTTGAGGGCTCCGGCTGGGGGTGTGGACTCTGGTGTGGGTCGGGGATGAGGGGTTTGGGGTGCAGGAGGGTGCCCTGGGGCTACTGCAGGGAGAGAGGACTCCCCCCAGCTCTTTCTTCCTGCAGCAGCACCTGGGAGGGAGAGGTGTCTCTCCCTGCCGCAGCAGCTCCGGGGCTGGGGCAGCATGATAGGAGCCCCTCCCCCGGTCACAGCAGTGTATGATTGGTAAAAAGAATGAAAATCAGACATCTGGATATCTCAGGTTTAAGAATTGAAACACTGGTTAGTATAAAAGCAATTGACACATTTACATTTACATGCACTTCTATTATGTTATCTTAACATGCATGCCAATGTCAATTACAATGAATAAGACTTGCAACTGTTGAGTAATCTCGTTAAGCTTTCTAGGCAAAAAGGGTGTTTGTGCCTATTTATACCTGATTCGATTACTAATGGAGGCTTAAAATGTCAGATTAGCCTCACAACTCCAATCCACCCAAGATCCTGATGTCACCACATTATTATTTTAAAATGAACGAGATCAACTATGGCATGCCACAGGCTGCCACTAAAACTGTGCACACTCTTGTTTGCTTCTGGACCAGCACACTATATTGAAATTAATTCAGCATGAACATGCAATCTTCAGAATGGCTAAGCTTTGAGATACACTTGAAGATAAAACCACCATCTTCTGTTTTTCTCTCCCTTACCTCAAAGTTGCCAAGCGTATTTTTTTGCCAGAAAATTTTCAGGTTCTATTGTTAAAGGGTCACTATTCATTTAGATTGCACAGTGTTTATACAACATTATAGCCACTTCACATAAGGTAACATTTAGTATAATTTTTTTAAATCAGTATCATCCATGAAGAATAGCAATACTTGCACAAAATAAAGAGTACCAAATAAATAATAATAATAAAAACCCCATGTTAGAATCCCTGTGTCCACAGCTCAACAACCCAATGTCCACATACCTTGCAACTAAAAATGTATCAAGTAAGGTCTGAATACATATTTTTTTCCTCAAATTTCACTGCTAAAGGAAGGACCGAGTCCTGGAAATCCTTACTCGCTGTCATCATTGGGACTGCTGGGGTAAGAAAGGACTCTTTAATTTAGTACGGGTTTGTCCACACTGGAACTTTGTCGGCCAAACTTTTGTCATTCAGGGGTGTTAAACACACACACACACACACACACACACGAATGACAAAAGTTTTACCGATTAAAAGCACTTTGTTGGCAGGAGTGCTCTCTCCTGCCGACAAAGAGCAGCTACACTGTGTGGTTTTTAGCGGCAGCGCTGTAGGGGCACAGCCATGTTGCTAAAAGCTGAGTAGTGTAGCCATACCCTAAGAGTTTGCAAGTTCCAGCCCTGTTGTCTGTGCTTGTTCAAATGCCACTGCTAGAGTAAGAGACATAAATCCCTTTTATCAGCTTCCCCTTTGGTGCAATCTCATTATACCATTAACAGGACTGACAAACAGAGCTTAAATAACCCAACACATAAGGCTTCCAGTTACTGATGACACCGTGCCAGTGATGTGGATTCTGGACTTGGTTGTCCAGTGCCTTGCATGGTAGGTAGTTATTTACACCTGTGCAATGTGGGTGTTAAACACTACCTCTGCTGTCAGTGACTTAGTAACCTTTTGCATACTCTGCCTATATAAGCTACAAAGCAACAGGAAATAAGGCACTCACTCCACTGCCAATTTCCACTTGGAGTTTGTAAAACAGAATCCACAATATTTGTTGCTATCAGGCACAGAGCAGTAGATATTTATGTCCCTGACAGGAACTAATGGAAATGAAATATAGTTCCTTCTGAGGAAATAAGTGTACTCTCAGAGTTTATAGCTATGATACTGAGAAGTCATCAAAAAGATTTTACCAGATGTGGCGATGGGAGAGGAAATATCTTACTTCAAATAACCCTGGGATCTTCAGAAAGGGATTAAAACCCTTGTTTTAAATTGAAACTAGGATTGTAAATAATTCATTAACACATTTTTAAACCCTGTTTTGTGCTTATCCAAGTCAGAGCCAGGAATCAAAATGTAAATGATAGGTCTAGAGTCTAGTGCACATTAAGCACAGATCACTTTCCCTATGTCTATTAATATTTAATGGAAAGAGATTTATTTTAAGCATGCAGTCGTTCTAAATTCATGTTCTATGTCTGATTGTTCAGCTCCTTGGCATCTTAACATTTACATACAAACATTTACATTTGTGGAGGATGAAGCAATGGAAAGCATGACAAAACAAGTGACATACCAGGAGATTCTCTGGCTTAATGTCTCTGTGCACAATGTTGAGACCATGGAGGTATTTCAGTGCACTGGCTAGATTGTAGACCATTGCGCTACCATCTCTCTCCGTATACTTTGTTGAAGAAGTGATAGCATCAAATAGGTCTCCTCCCTAAAGTAAGGGAAAACATCAAAGGCAATGACAAGAAAAATCATCAGGTATCAATACTCTAGTCAGACTGCTGAAAAGATGTCAGAGAAAGCCATACTTCAACATCCTTGCACCAAAGGCATGCACAAAGACCCGTCATGCATTATACGGGAAAGATAGGCTGCACCACTCGAGGCTTGTCTACATGGAGAAGTTGGTGCACAGTAAGCTAGGGTGTGAGTTTAAAGCACACTAGCAACTCCTCACTTACTCTCTGTGTGGACCCACTTACTGCATACTAAGAGTGACCTCATGTGGTTTAGCTTAGTACATTTCCAAAGTGCACCAGCTACTGCAGCCTTTTTCCTCATGTAGACAAGCCCTTGGAAACAGCTATCATGGTAGGGAAGGATGAACTTGTAGACTGAGGCACTGGGACTCAGGTATCTGGGTTCAATACTCAACAGGCTTGTGTGTGTCGTTGGGCAAGTCACTTCACCACTCTGCACTTCAGTTCCCCAACACTAAGAGGAGGATACCACCACTTCCTTTCTCCCTGCTTTTGACTGTCTTGTCTATTTACATTATCAACTCATCAGGGTACTACAGAACTATTTGTTTGTACAGTGCCTAGCAGCTGGAGCCTCTAGATGATGCTGTAAAAAACGGTTACCTACCTTCTGTAACTGTTGTTCTTCGAGATGTGTTGTTCACGTCCATTACACATTAGGTGTGCGCGCGTTGCGTGCACGGATGTCGGAAACTTTTCCCCTCAGCGGCTCCCATCGGGCCGGCAGGGTCGCCCCTCCCACCAGAGCGGCGCCCCACGCTAGCGTATATATATCCCTGTGGGCCCAACCCTCCCTCGGTTCCTTCTTGCCGGTGACTCCAACAAAGGGGAAGGAGGGTGGGAAGTGTAATGGACGTGAACAGCACATCTCGAAGAACAACAGTTACAGAAGGTAGGTAACCGTTTTTTCTTCTTCGAGTGATTGTTCACGTCCATTACACATTAGGTGACTCACAAGCTTACCATTGGAGGAGGGTAGGAGTCAAGGAACAATTGATTGAAGCACAGCCCTGCCGACCACCGCGTCCTCTCTGGTCTGATGATGGATTGCGCAGTGGGCTGTGAACGTATGCACCGACGACCAGGTCGCCGCTTTACAGATTTCCTGGAGTGGAACCTGCACCAAGAAAGCCGCCGAGGACGCTTGGGCCCTAGTCGAGTGAGCCCTGATCTCCGGGGCTGGTATGTTGGCGAGCTCATAGCATGTGCGTATGCCAAGCACAATCCATGCTGCCAAGCGTTGCGCCGAGATAGGCTGGCCTTTCATTCTCTCCGCAGTGGCAATGAACAGTTGCATCGACTTGCGGAATGGCCTGGTCTGTTCCAGATAAAATGCCAAGGCTCTACAGACATCGAGGGTATGCAGGCTGCGGTGGTTTGGGTCCGTATGGGGCTTAGGGAAGAACACCGGTAAACAAACGTCCTGCCCCATATGAAATTGCGTGACCACCTAAGGAAGGAATTTGGGGTGCGGCCTCAGTTGCACCTTATCCTTATAAAAAACTGTATAAGAGGGTTCCGAAGTGAGGGCTCTCAATTCCGATACCCTCCTAGCCGATGTGATGGCCACTAGAAACGCTACCTTCCACGAGAGGTGCATGAGGGAGCAAGAGGCTAGGGGTTCAAAGGGCGGCCCCATGAGTTTAGTTAGGACCAGGTTAAGATTCCATACAGGGACTGGCGGGCGCGAGTAGGGAAAGACCCTCTCCAGCCCCTTGAGGAATCGGACTACTGTGGGGTTGGAGAACACCAAAACCCCCAACTCTCCGGGGTGGAACGCTGATATGGCAGCCAGATGCACTTTAATTGAGGCGGGGGCGAGCCCTTGATGCTTGAGGTGCAGCAAGTAGTCCAGTATTGATGGGACAGAGGCCTGCAGAGGCTGTATGTGATGAGACTCACACCAGTGGGAGAACCTCTTCCATTTGGCAAGGTAGGTCGCTCTTGTGGGGGGCTTCCTACTACCAAGAAGAATTTGCTGGACCTGTTGGGAGCACCTGTGCTCCGTATCGTTTAGCCAGAGAGAGATACCACGCCGTGAGATGTAGTGACGTTAGGTTCGGGTGGAGTGGACGACCCTGGTCCTGCGTGATGAGGTCGCGATGGAGTGGGAGAGTGATCAGGGCGGTCACGGACAGTTCCAGCAGGGTCGTGAACCAATGCTGGCGTGGCCACGCCGGTGCGATGAGGATGACTGTTGCCTTGTCCCTGCGGGTCCCTGTGGATGAGCGGGAATGGTGGGAAGGTATACCTCAGGCTCCCGCCCCACGGAATCGCGAAGGCATCTGCCAATGAGCCCGGGCTGAGGTTCTGGAATGAACAAAACTGAGGACATTGGGTTGTTGTCCTTGGCGGCGAAGAGATCCACCTGGGGAAACCCCCACCTCTGGAAGATTGAATGTAGGATGTCCTCTCTGAGTCCATTCGTGCATGTGGTAGGACCTGCTGAGGCGGTCCGCTAACCCGTCTTGGATCCCTGGAAGATATGCTGCCAGTAGGTGGACTGAGTGAGCTATACAGAAGTCCCATAGGAGGAGCGCCTCGTGACAGAGGGGAGAGGATCGGGACCCGCCCTGCTTGTTTATGTAGAACATGGCGGTAGCGTTGTCCATCAGAACTGACACGCTGTGGCCTTCTATGGTAGCGTGAAAGGTCTGGCAGGCGAGGCAAACTGCCCTTAACTCCTTCAGATTGATGTGAAGCAACTTTTCCTCCCTGGACCATAAACCCTGGGTCTGCAGGTCCCCAAGGTGCGCCCCCCAGCCCAGATACGACGCATCTGTTACTAACGTCAGAGTGGGTTGCGGGGTGGCGAAAGGGACCCCTTCGCAAACCTGCTGCTGATCGAGCCACCAGCGGAGGGAGTTCGACACCCGAGTTGGGATTGTCACTACTAGGTCTAAGGGGTCTCTCTTGGGGCGATACGTTTGGGCCAACTGTAACGGTCTGAGTCTTAGGTGGGCATGTCTGACTACATGTGTGCAAGCCGCCATGTGCCCCAAGAATTGCATACAGCATCTGGCCATGGTCATGGGGAATTGTTGGATGGAGCTTACAACCCTTTGAATGGCCAGGAACCGTGACACTGGAAGACTTGCCCGTGCCGCCACCGAGTCCAGGACTGCTCCTATGAAATCCAGTCTCTGTGTGGGGATCAGTGAGGACTTGGGTACATTGACCAGTAGACCGAGCTTGCGGAACACCTGTAACGCCAGTGCCATGTGGGAGCGGACTTTGTCCTCTGACCTGCCCGCGAGGAGCCAGTCGTCCAAGTACGGGTATACCCGCATCTTTCTTTTTCGAAGAAAGGCTGCCACCATGGACATGCATTTCGTGAACACTCGCGGGGCCGTTGCTAGGCCGAAGGGCAAGACCATAAATTGGAAATGGTGTTGGTTGATGGTGAAGCGCAGGAACCGCCAGTGGGCCAGGCGGATGGCGATGTGAAAGTACGCATCTTTCATATCGAGGGCAGCGTACCAATCCCCCGGATCCAGGGATGGGATAATAGCGCCAAGGGAGACCATACGAAAACGTGCCTTGACCAAAAATTTGTTTAGTTTGCATAGGTCCAAAATGGGATGGAGGCCCCCTTTTGCTTTGGGAATGAGGAAATATCTGGAGTAAAACCCTTTCCCTCTTAGGTCCAGAGGGATCTCTTCCACTGCTTCTACTTTGAGGAGGGCCCGCACCTCCTGCATAAGGAGTTGCTCGTGAGAGGGGTCCCTGAAGAGGGACGGGGATGGGGGGTGGGAGGGAGGGGGGTGAGGAGAACTGAAGGGTGTATCCCGCCTCCACCGTGCGAAGGACCCAGCGGTCCGATGTTATACGGGACCAAGCATGGTAAAAATGGGGCAGGCGGTCCCTGAAACATAGAGGAGGATCCGGTATAAGGGTTGGTACTCTGTCCTCGATCGCAGCTTCAAAACCCTTGCTTATTTCCCGGCTGCGGCTTGCCTTGGCCGTGGCTTTGGCCCTGGTTAGGCGTGTTGTTACGTCTATGCCTGTTATCCCTGCCCCTTCTGCGGGCTCGGTGCCGAGTCGGCTCTTTCTTGCTCCGTGGTCTGGAGACCTTGGCCTCCTTGCGCGAGGAGGGGCGCCCCTGCGGGGAGCGGGACCGGTGTCTCGAGGGGCCAGATCTCGAGGTCCTGGACGGGGGGCCTTGCTGGTGGTAGGCCCAAGGGGTCCAGAATGGCCATTGTCCTGGCTGGCCCCACTGTGGGTGCCAAGCGGCTTCGTGTTCCCTACCGGCTGGTGCCCTGTGGGCAAATCTGCTGGACTGGCCCAAGTCTGTCTCCGAAACCACAGACGGTGACCAGGATGGCCACGGTGGTGCCGTGGGATGGTGCCGGTCCGGGGTCGGAGAGTAGTGCCTCCGGGACTGGGAGTAACGTCTTGCCAACCTGGACCTGGACCGGTACCGGTGACCTCGGGACCGGGAACGACTGCAAGTGGTCGGTCTTGGGGATCGCGTGGCTGACACGTCCTGGTGCCTACTCGAGTAGGGCTGCTGGGTCAGTGCCGGGTGCTTGTTGGGGCCCGACGGCTGTGTGGCCCTCTGCGCCGAGGGTAGCCGGGAGTCCACCGAGGCGGAGCTCGACCGGGAACGGCGCCGTGAACAGTGCCGAGATGGTGACCGTGATGGGCACACCATTGCCGGCTTGCCTCAGGATGGCAGTCTTGGCGGATTATCTTTGACTTAGAGGGGACCCACAGTGGACAATTCGATGAGGTCCTTTGCTACCTCAAACGTGTCCAGGGTGGAGGGCTGTTCCAAAAGCTTCTCCAGCCCTTCCTCCTCACTCGATGCGCCTATCCCGGGGCTCGACGGGCCTCTCGGCGCCGGAGCCACTGGCACCGGGATCTGTCCTGGGATCGCCACTCCCTTATGCGCATTCGAGGTCTTCGCGGGCGCTGCCCTCTTATGCAGGGAGCGTCCTCGGGCCTTGGGTTGGCCCATCGATTTTGCTGGCGAAGATGACCGGTGCCGGGGGCGGTCTTGCTGTGTCGGTGCCATCGGCTTATGGTGCCCCACCGGTGCCAGATCACGCACTGATGCCGGGGCACTCCGCACCGAAGTTGACGGTGCCGCGGCCTGTTGCGTCGAAGTGGAGGGCTGTAATACAGCCTCCATGAGCAGCTGCTTAAGGCGAAAGTCCCTCTCTTTCTTAGTCCTGGGCTTGAAGGCCTTACAGATCTTGCAGAGCTCTTTTTGGTGTGCTTCCCCCAGGCAACGGAGGCACGAGTCGTGGGAATCACTTATCGGCATAGGCTTGCGGCACGTGGCACAAGCCTTGAAGCCTTGGGTGTGCGACATGCCCCGCCGCCCAGGGCTGGTGTCGGGATCGACCAAACACGTAACACAAAGGAGCTTAACTACTACTAAAGAACTGTTAACTGCTAAGATTAACACTAACTATTAACGCTAAGGGACACTCTCAAGCGAGAGACAGAGTTGTTCCAACGCCATCACGGACAGTAAGAAGGAACTGAGGGAGGGTTGGGCCCGCAGGGATATATATCCGCTAGAGCGGGGCGCCGCTCTGGTGGGAGGGGGGACCCTGCCGGCCCGACGGGAGCCGCTGAGGGAAAAAGTTTCCGACGTCCGTGCACGCAACGCGCGCACACCTAATGTGTAATGGACGTGAACAATCACTCGAAGAAGAATGCAAATAATCAATAATAATTACATAAGTACATGTTAGAAATACTTAGTGCAAACATTATGAAAAGTAAAAATAAATAAGAATGAGGCAGGATGATAACAGTGCTTCATTCCACAGCATATTTGCCCCATGCAATATATGGCAGAGTCTGCCTGGTGTTTTTTGAGCATAGCTGTTGTGCAATATCCTACCAGCATCCATTATAGCTCAGGGGTATGTAACAGCATTTTTAAAAACAGTAGTAAAGAAATATTTTAATTTATATGGCATTTCCACTTGCTGCAGTTAATTTAAGTTGTGTGCCATCATGATGGTTACCTTGGATACAAGCGTGGGAGTGACTTGGCTGGGTTGTGGGTGGAATTCCAAGCATTGTAGCACATGTGAAAGCAGTAGCAATTCAGGATATATATTCAAAGATTACCCTGTTTTTTTAAAGTTGCATCTTAAAAACAAAAAAGCCATCTGCCACATAAAAACTGTTTCTAGAGATAGTCAGAAATGAAGCAGTGGTACTGAGCCAGTAGCTACAAACCTTCACCAGGGGGTTTCAAGCAAACAGATGTTGCGGAAAAGTTTCTTGAGTACAGTGAAATTTTTAGATAGCAATACCTTCTGAAATGTTGATTTATACTTTTATCCAATATAATGATAAATGATAAAGTCTGGGTTTACTGCTGTTGTTTTAACATATAGACTAGTTTGCATGTTTGCTATTGTTCCTGTACGAGAGATAAGAATGTACATTTGTATGCAAGCATGTGTGAGAGAAGCCTCAGATTTGATACGGGTTTATAAATCTAACTCAGATGGCCTAGACACTCAAATTATTCATTATCTTGTCACAAAACAAGCGACTAAGAAATATCAGACCTATGCCACATAGAAATTTCTGGATTGTTTCAGTATATTTGTATATTTTCTTATTTTATGATGGGGAAAATATGCTAAGTATTGTAACAGGGGATCTATTTTTCTTCTATATAATATTTTTCAGGTGTTTCCTTTTAAACAATAATTCTGCAAGTCATTCTGCCTTCTTTGCTGCTGCATATGCTATTTCTGAGGGAGTTCTGCACCAAAAAATTAAAAATTCTGCAAAATTGTGCATATTTTGTCAAAACAACATTATAATTACACCATTTTCAATTATTTTGGTGCAGGGGGGTGAGCTTCAGCACAGTGGGGATTCGAGTGCAGGCGACTCAGCAGGGAGTGGTCTGGGTGCGGGGGGAAATTCAGATGCCTCGGGGTTGGGCATTTGGGGGTACAGCTTGCTGTACAGTGACCCCCACCCCCATAGCTGGAGAGCACTGAGGACAGGAAGCTGGGGAGGAGCTTCCTGAAGCCCAGGGAAGTTCCTGGGGATGGGTCTGACCTGGCCCCGGCCCATGCAGGGATTGGTCCTGCTTTGAGCATTTATATCTTTTGTTACAGACAATAATGAGCAACAGCTGCATTTTGTTTATACATAGGTTATTTTGATATTGGACTAGATGAACTCCTGAGGTCCCTTCCAACCCTGTGATTCTATGATCTGCGCTTTGCACAGTGGCACAAAACTGCCCAGGAGTAATATGCCAAAAACCCCTGGTTTGTGTAACAGGTTCATGCTATGCATTAAAATGTTTCTATGGAGGTGCTTCATAATGCCTTTGGCTCACAAGAGAGCAGTATCACTCTCCAATGTTAGCAAAGTGGAGCTCACAAGATTTTTCTCTCTGTGACGGTATATCTAGCGTTCAGCCCACAGAAGATAAGCAACATTACTACCACCAGCTGTAGATCTGCCAGCAGTTGGAGATCTCCTTTAGCTGAAGTGGAGAGATTTGTGCTTCTGGACTGTGTCTGTGAAGAGGAGTGTAACTTATTTAGTAATTGTGTCTGTTGTCTTTAGGATATAGCTTAATTGCAAACCCAGTAATTCACACCACTCGATGTGAATGATTAAATAAGAAAAGCTGATGGAGAAAAATGTTGCAAGCTGGTGACATGTTTACTGTGTGTTGTGATGATATAACAATGTAATTTAAAAAGTTACACATAACTTCTTGTTCTATATTTGGATTTCTCTTTAGATTGGGCACTTACCTTACAAAAAGCACCTTGAATCCCTGCTATGTGAATAGTCTAATGCCAGGTGAAAAATGATAACAATTATCAGGGGTAGCCATGTTAGTCTGTATCCACAAAAACAACGAGGAGTCCGGTGGCACCTTAAAGACTAACAGATTTATTTGGGCATAAGGTTTCGTGGGTAAAAAACCCACTTCTTCAGATGCATGGCGTAATTTTTCACTCCATGCATCTGAAGAAGTGGGTTTTTTATCCATGAAAGCTTATGCCCAAATAAATCTGTTAGTCTTCAAGGTGCCACCGGACTCGTTGTTGTTTTTATTATAACAATAGTTCATTTTAATGGAATTTAACAACAGTATTTGCATGATTAATTGGAAGTTCTCATCAAAATGCTTATCTGATTATGTCTCCTGAGAGCTGTGTGATATTGGAATTTTCCTAGACTTCACATTATGTGTAGATAAATGAAAAAGAAAATTCCTTGAAATAGTCTTACCTTAACTAACTCCATTACCAGATAGAGTTCTGTTGGAGTGTCCATCTCCTCTATCAGCATGATAATATTGGGGTGTTTCACTTGGCGCAGTATGGATACCTCATTCTCTATCAGATGCTCCTGTTTAGTCAGGAAAAGGAGGAAAGAAAGTTTATTTTAATTGACAATGAACTCCCAGTAAAACTTCCAGGTGATAGCTTTCCTGTTTTTGTTCTTAATTTTTACACACACACACACACACACACACACACACACACACACACACACACAGTCAGGTCTTTCACGATATTACTTATATTGCAGAGCTGTGGTGAAATGACACATTTTAACCATCTCTTAATACCACTGTATTTCCTTCCAGACCTGATCTCTTACAAAATAGCTGCCAACTTCATGGGTTTTATTTTTTGTTTGGTTTAATATTTATATTTAGAACCTGAAAACTACTTACCCATTTAAGTTTGGAAATTGTTTTAGCTCCAACAGCTTGATATTGTGCTAGGGTTAGGTTTTATTCCCCCTTTCTCCTGCCCCCACCCCATATGAAGGTACAACGGCTTTAAAATAAGTTAATTCTAGGGTTTTTTCCTTTTCTTTTTGTTTTAAATTCAAGACACCCATCCACTAAACTACATGCTGGGGATTAAAGAAAAAGTCACAGATTCCCTTTCATTCATGAATGTTTTTACTTTTTCCTTTTTAAAATATTTGAAAACATTCCTGTGATGGGTTCGGTCATAGAGACCCTCTTGGGACTGCTACCTGATGTGCTGAGACTACCTCTGAGCCAGTTTTCCCTGCCAGCTTGGGACTTCGGTACCCTGTCTTGTTGAGCCAGACACGCTAGCCTGCTGGAAACACAGACCCATGTCTGAACCACGTCCCCCAAAAGCTGCAGGCTTAACTGAAAACAGCTTAAGAAGTACTCCTGTCTCTAGCAGCCAGATACCCAGCCCCCAATGGGGTCCAAACCTCAAATAAATCCATTTTACTCTATATAAAGCTTATACAGGGTAAACTCATAAATTGTCCGCCCTCTATAACACTGATAGAGAGATATGCACGGCAGTTTGCTCCCCCAGGAATTAATTACTTACTCTGGGTTAATTTATAAGCAAAAGTGATTTTATTAAATATAAAAAGTAGGATTTAAGTGATTCCAAATAATTACAGACAGAACAAAGTAAGTTACCAAACAAAATAAAACAAAAACAAGTAAGTCTAAGCCTAATACATTAAGAAACTGATTACAGATGAAATCTCTCACCCTCAGATGTTCCAATAAGCTTCTTTCACACACTAGACTCCTTTCTAGTCTGGGCCCAATCCTTTCCCCGGTACAGTCCTTGTCCAGCTCAGGTGGTAGCTAAGGGATTTCTCATGACTGCCGCCCCCTTGTTCTGTTCCACCCCCTTATATAGCTTTGGCACAAGGCAGAAATCTTGTGTCTCTCTGGGTCCCCACCCCTCCTTCTAAATCGAAAAGCACCAGTTTAAGATGGATTCCAGTACCAGATGACACCCCAAGCCTTCATTCTTCCTGGCCTGACTCACAGGAAGGCTTGCAAGTAAATAGAGCTATTTACAACCAATTGTCCTAGTTGATGGGAGCCATCAAGATTCCAAACTACCCTTAATGGCCCACACTTTGCATAATTACAATTTCATATTTCTATTTCATATTTCTAGTTTCAGATACAAGAATGATACATTTATACAAATTGGATGACCACATTCAGTAGATTATAAGCTTTGTAATGATACCTTACAAGAAACCTTTTGCATGAAGCATATTCCAGTTACATTATATTCACACTCATTAGCATATTTTCATAAAATCATATGGAGTTAAAAAGGCTTTAAAATAAGTTAATTCTAGGGTTTTTTTTCTTTTTGTTTTAAATTCAAGACACCCATCCACTAAACTGCATGCTGGAGATTAAAGAAAGTCACACATTCCCTTTCATTCATGAATATTTTTGCTATTTTCCTTTTTAAAATATCTGAAAACATTCCACAGGGACCTTTCGGTTCATTGTAAATCTAATAACCATCCCTGTATAAAACAAGAGGTTATTTGCACTTTGGGAAATAAGTCACCTCACTGGGAGTCTGAACTTGCTCACATTAAAAACACTGACTAGTAACATGCACCTCATGCATTTGTGAACAGAATTACTGGAAGTAGATATGTACACATTATGACAGACTGTACATGAGCAGTGACTGAAAACCTCACACTATTTCACCATTTTTCTGCAGGGCTATATAAAGAGGTCTTGTTTTCTGCTCAAAGCTCAGTCACATGGCTGTGTAATTCATTAATTTGAATTAACGGGTCTATTTCCCAGAACCCACATACCAGGCATGCATCTCATCCTGTGAGTGGTGCAGCATATATTGATTAAACGGGTTGCATCTTTGAAACCCAATTTGCAAGAACATCAATTGTCGTTCAGCAACCCAACTTAAGTCTGCTCCAAGCAAACGTGCTCTGGAGAAAAGAAAAACAAACGAAACAATTTTGTTTAAAAAGGTTGACCTTTACCCACAGAAAGGAGCCATTGTAAAATGCTGGCTATTGTGATTCATGAAAAAAAACCTAAATAAAGCAGGGCCAAGGAACCAAGTGAAATGTGGAACCCTACTATAAACAAAATCTCAGCTTTAGGAGCAAATAGCCAACATAATCAATTCATTACACTATTTAATTCTGACCCTAGCAGCACAGAACCATCTATGCTATCTTGGCCTCATCTGAGCCACTAAATTGTTCTCTTTAGACAGGTTTAAGTAACAATCTATTGTAATTAACCTTTTATACAAAGGTTACAAAATGCTCTTGCATCACTGTCCTGATACATGTCCTGTGAAATGCTGACCTGTTTATGGTTATTAATTTTTAATCATCTTGTCCTTGCTGTATTCCATTAAACTTTTTAAATATGTCAGTTTCCACAGCTGCCTCAACCTCTTCCTCAGGGAAATTGCTGAAATAGATTTTAGTCTAAGTTGAAAAGATTTATTTAAGTAGAAATGATTGTACTATTAACATGTATACTGATGGATGAGAAAAGATCAACTAGTTTGGTTAAAAAGTTGTAACTCCCAAGATACAAATTGCTGGACAGTACATTTGTGCTGGACAGGAGTGACCATCCTCAATGCAAAGGTTGTGCATATTTGGGCCAGATGGTGGTTTTAAGGTTTGTGACATGTGGGAATGGGTGCGGATACATTCAGCACAGAGAAGCAATTTGAGCACTGTTTTCCCCATGGTCATTCATGAAGTCACCTTACTAGATCGTAACTTATCTCATATTCTCTGTGTCTATTTAATGGGGTAGGGGCAAGATTAAACTCCTAGCTCCTGACAGACAGTTTAGGATTAATGCATTAAGCAGGTAATGCACATGGACATGTACACTGTTATAGCTGCTACCTTCCTGCCTAACAGAAGGAATGTTATCTAAACCTCTTGCAGAACACTGTACTATGGGTATGCAGCATTTGCCATTTATAATTATATTGTACTATAGCTCATCTCTTCAAATATCCCTGGATTTTACAGTCTCAGACAAGGTTGCATCAAAAAAGAGTTTTGTGCAACAATCCATAAAAAATGGGCTACCTATGGAAACACTGCAGAAACAGAAAAACTGGCATACCAGAACAGACCATTTTATCTGCCCCAGATCCTGCCTGTGAGAGTGTCCTATACTTCTTACCTTCAGAGAAAGGTAAGTGGCTTCCATCCTGCATCTGGTCATTTATCCAAAATACTATGTCTTAAGTGTATTCTTGCCTGACCCCAAGTGATGATCAGTGCCTGTAGCATGAAGACCAACATCTTTATGTGGATAAGAATAGCATCTGCAAGTACACTAGTTGGGATAAAAGTGTCTAAAACGGTCTTGAAACTTGATAGATTTCAACAGCAAGTTCCACTGGTTAATTATATTGCATTAGAAAAAGAACTTATTTACTGTTTTATATTTGTTGCTTCTTAATTTTCTAAGTGACTTGCCCAAAGTCACACAGGAAGTCTGTGGTGGAAGTGTGAATTGAACCTGGATCTCCCATATCCCAAGCCAGTGCCCCAACCACTGGGCCAGCCTTGCTCCCCCAGAAATGTTTTATTAATAGTTAATTATTATCTATGCTTTCGAAAATTCAGTCCAATAACTTTTTTAGATCCAGATTCTGTTTCTTTCAGGCCTCCCTGCTTAGGAATTGTCCCACAATCAGTCCAGTAGGCTGGTGTTCATAATGCTTCAGTCTGAAACACCTGTGTACTATTCTTTTTCATCCACTAGACAACCAGACATGGCAAGATCAACAGATCTTGGGTAGCATCAGTATAGCAGCAGAAACTCCCAAGAAAGTCTCCCACCCTAGTGCGGATGAGAAAACAGCCAAGAGAATCCTCCCAATTTGTGCCTGCAATGCTCATAAAGACACTGGCCTCAATTCTATAACATTTGCTTGTGACACCTGGGAATAAGACAGGAAAGGGGTTTGATGTGTTTCCCAGCTGACAGAATCTGAACTTTTAAATTCACCACTTAAAGCTTAAACAACAATTTTAGAATAAATGTTATTTGTAAGGGATAGGGTGTTGTCACTAGTCAATAGAATGCTGTTTTCGAAAGTCCAGCTGTATATAGGTCAAGGAAGGGGGTGCTGCAACCAAGATGGAAAAATAAGGGACAAGGCAGAAGTTTTAGGTAAAATAGGAATATAAGGAAGATGTCTTATTTATTTGAAAACTTCCATGCTTGCCAAATCACTGGGGGCCCACTCCAATTGTCTTTAGCCCCAAAGAAGAAAAAAAAACCTGTTACCTACCTTTCGTAACTGTTGTTCTTCTAAATGTGTTGCTCATGTTCTTTCCATTCTATGCGTGTGCGCACCTACGTACACAGACAGAGATTTCTACCTTAGCGGTATCCGTAGGGTTGGCTCTGGCGCCCCCTTGTGTGCCGTGCCCATATGGCGGTATATCAGGCGCCGCCGACCCTATGCCCTCTCAGCTCCTTCTTGCCAGCAATTCCGACAGAGGGATAGGAGGGTGGGGAATGCAATAGACATGAGCAACACATCTTGAAGAACAGTTATGAA